GGGGGGGCGGGGGAGGCCTCGGGAGTGGTGGTGGCGTCTCTGCCAGGAGGAAGGCCCAGGTGAGGGCAGGATTGGTGGCTCCAAGTCCTGGGATGGGGCTCTGGGTTCTACCATGAGGAGGATGTGGAGAAAAGGCCCAGGAGTATGGGTTTTGGGGGGTGGGGCCCCTGGGAATAAGCCCCAAGGCTGTGGAGATGGTCAGGGAGGCCCAGGATGCGGGCAGGCCTTGGTGGGGGGGCTGATCCTGAAGAGGCCGGTGTCTTTATGTCAGCCAGAAGCTAAGAGAAGGGCCAGGCTGACCACAGGGACAGGAGGAAAGCCTCCCTGCGGCCGGGCCTGGGGCGCAGAGAAGCCCTGGGGCAGGTGGAAGAAGGCCGGGGTCTGGCTGCTCAGCCTGGAGCTTCTAGGGCAGGAAAGGCCAAGAGGAAAAAGGACTCGGTGTGGGGGCCCCGCGTGGAGAAGAGGAAGCATTCAAGGTGTGGGCTGGAGAGAAGCAGGGAAGAGCCCGGCTCAAGAATGGAGAAGGGGAGAGGAGCGTGTGGATCATCTACAGGAGAGTGGGTGGCTAACCCGGGGGTAGATTGGAGGGAGAGGAGGAACAGCTCCATGGCCGGCTCCAGGGAAAGTCGCAGGAAAAGCTGGATGTTAGGCCCCTTGGAGGAGCCGAGGAAGAGGCCTGCGGAGCAGTGCTGTTGGGGAGGGAGGTCTCAGTGCGGCCTGACAACCAGGAAAGGCTTCCTGGAGGAGGTGGACTGATTTTACTTTGTGGAGAAAGTGAGTCGAGGTAGCAGGAAAGGATACAATGAGGAAACATAAGTAAAACAGGCATGTTATACCTTGAATGCCAATGTATGGGTTGACTTTATCTGAAATGCAGTAGAGAGCCTCCATTAGTGTAATAGCATAGGGAATTCGTGCTTTTATTCAGCAAGTACTTTGAGTACCTACTATATACAAAGAATTGTACTAGATTCTTGAATAGCAAGATTCAGTTATTCTACAAATAAATATAAAAAGAGATACTAGAATGGAAGTTTTTAAAGATTTTCACTAATTATGGTATACTCCAAGTTCTTAAACTTATTCTTGGCTGGACAGAGATGCTATTGACAGAGTAAGAATAGTAATCACCAACATTTAGTGAGCTTATCATGGCCAGCATGGCCTTAAAAAGATTACAAGCATGATCTCTTAATTTTCACAACAATGTTATGAGGTAGTTATTATCTCTTTTAAAATTGAGGAAATTTAGGTTTAAAGACATTAATTTGCCCATGGATTCATAATTAAGTGGTACAATCAGGATTTTATCCAGTTTTGTGCAACTCTAGAGACCAAACCATTTAGCCATAATACTGTAATGCCTCTCAGACCTAGGGAAGTCAGCAAGCAAGTTTTGATTTTAAGATATACTGAATTTTGCCCTGACCAGTTTGGCTCAGTGGATAGAGCATCGGCCTGCGGACTCAAAGGTCCCAGGTTCGAATCCAGTCAAGGGCATGTACTTTGGTTGCAGGCACATCCCCAGTAGGGGGTGTGCAGGAGGCAGCTGATCGATGTTTCTAACTCTCTATCCCTCTCCCTCTCTGTAAAAAAATCAATAAAATATATTAAAAATAAATAAAAAGATATAGTGAATTTTGAGTATAGAGCCTAACTATTTCTGTTCTTCTTAGGAAAGTACTAGTTTTGGACATAGGGGGTGCCCAAAGAATGGAAGTAGCCAACCTGGAAGAATGGGAAGGGAATTCAGTAAAGGCTTAATAAAGTGCATGTGATACTTAAAAGATGAGTAGTTGTTATTCAGAAAGTGACAAGGATATTCCTAATGGGGAGAACAGCTTAAGAAAGTGAATCTCATGTACAGAGGCAGAAAGCAGGGTAACACCTTATATAAATGAAAAAAGTAGTTTAGTGTGGCTGAAGTGTAGGAGACAAAGGAGGGAGCTGGAGAAGTTTGTAGGACCCAGATTATGAAGGACTTATTTAATCACACATATTCAACAGGACTTTTTAAATGTAGGATCATTCATTATGCTTGGACAGAAGCAAACTGACCAGCTCCTAAATGAGCATATTAGCTTGCTTTGTGGGATTGTCTCACCCTTGTAAATGTGTAGGGCCATGGAATTCTAGCTGCCAACTAAGTGGCTAAAGATAAGTGGACCAGAGTTTGAATTATCTTTAGGTTCATGTCTACAGGTTCCATTTGTCAAAAGAGAAATTTGCTCTTCTTCTTTTTCTTCTTTTTTTCCCCCCAAGAGGATAAATAATGCTTAGAACCTTGGCAGAAAAAAGTAAATTTTGTGTTTTGGTTTTTGTAGCCCTCCCAGGCCCAATACTTCAAAGCATCTTACCTCTGCTCAATATATATTACTTGGAGAGGATTGAGGAAACTGCCCTCAAGAAAGGTGAGTGTCTTTCTCTCTCTTTCTCAGTGAATGATTGTAAGCAAGACACCATAATGTTCTTCAGGTAAATATTACACCTGATACCTGTGTAAAACTTCAGGATTTTCAAAAAGTACCCTCACACCTACTTTCTTATCTGATTCCTCAGTGCCCTATAAAACAAAACAAGTGTGTGATTCCTGGTATACTAATAAAAGTGAGACCACAGTCAAACCACAATTAACCCTTTGCGGTCGTATTAAATTTGGACATGGGTGTCGTACTGGTCGGAATTAATTTCCATTGAAAGAGCAGTGATACATAACATGCAAGATTATGAAGGATAAACAAGATTTATTCATTCTTTTTTGGAACTACGTCACTACTACTAGAATCACTACAAACGTTATCACTTTCTACGTCAGAGTCAGTATTCAAGGTGCCAAAATAAAACTCTTCATCGTTACTTTCAGATTCGCAGTACACTTCTTTCGGTAACTTTCTTTTTGACATTTTGGAGTATTATTTTGAAATATCTTAACAAGCGAGAATGCCTAATTACAGTTAAACGTAATTTGTAAAGCTTTATTTGAAATTCTGCGAAGTATCTCCGAAGCTTGTCGATTTCTTCACTCTCAAAAGGCGACTGACTCGCCACGGTGTTTTGCATGGTGAGTGTGGAACGACCGCGTTTGTTTATATTGAGTTTCGATATCTCCGATTTGTCGGGGCAATGTTTTGGTTCGTGACAAGGTCGCTTAGACACTTAAGAGCTTTCAGAGAAATTATGAACTGATACATGAATGAATAGAGTTAAGATTCGTAGAGTTCCTTTCTGTGGTGGCTGAGAGCGGACATACGACCGGAACGGTAAAAAAGCTTTGGTGGCTGAGAGTAGACAAACGACCGCAAAGGGTTAATAGCAAAGCCAGACTAGAACCCAAATCTTCTGAATCTTTGTTTTTCTGTTTTACCAAGTTGCCTCCCAAGCCCCGCATTGGACACATCTGTTAAGAACTAACATTTATCTAATTAACCCTGATGTGCCAAGCACTGTACTAGGCACTCTACCTGAAGAAACTTATTAAAACTTTTCAACAGTTCTGTGAAATAGTTATTATTAACTACATTTTACAGATAAGGAAACTAAGGAACAGAAAAATTAAGTAACTTGCCCAAGGTCACACAGCTAGAGTGTGGTTTGCTGATATTTAAACCAAGGCAGTTTGTCTTTAGAGCCAGTTGCTCTTGTGAATCCAGAGAAGGACATTAAAAGGCTGATATACTTCACTCATGGTGGCCAAGGAGCAGCCAAGTAAATGTGATGTTTCTCCCTACAGGCCTCTCTACTCAGGCCATCTGGCGCCGACTATGGGATGAACTGATGAAGACAAGGCCTTCTGGTCTGGAAGTAAGTTAAGACATCAGGTAGAACTCTGGCCTGGCTTTGCACAGTGAAAGCAGGAGCAGTACACAAACATAAGTTGTGTATGGGTAAAGTGCAGGGAGGAATGGATTGAATGTGGGAGGAGAGCTCTGATGGCTTATCATAACATCCCTCACCATTTGGCCTTTGTCACTGACTTGCTTGCTCACCGTGTTTACAGGTGACACAAAACAGAGAAAGATAGTGATCACAATGATGGCAGAACCCCGATTCACAGAGGTCTTAATAGGCCTGGAGCAATGGTCAAACTTAACAAGATAAAATTTAACATGATAAGCCAACTCTTTTTATTTTATTTTATTTTATTTTATTTTATTTTATTTTATTTTATTTTATTTTATTTTATTTTATTTTATTTTATTTTATTTTATTTCCCCTACTGGGGATCAAGCCACAACCCTGGGCATGTACCCTTGACCAGAATCGAACCTGGGACCCTTCAGTCTGCACACCGATGCTCTATCCACTGAACCAAACCAGCTAGGGCCAACTCTTTGAGTCTAAAAAAATTCCAATTGGGTGATCTCAGGGTAGGGGATGGAGGGGTCTGGCTTGTATAAAAAAATTAAGGGGTTTTAGTCAACAGTGTGCTAAAGCCACTCATATAGAGACTGTACCCTGAGCTACGTGAACTAATGTAACTAGAATATAGGCCGAAGGACAAGGGGGATAGTAGACCTGCCTGGCTCTGCAGTAGTCAGGCTACTCCTGGAGTATGGAGAAAGAAGTCAAAGCCACATCATGTGAGTCACATATGGAAGACTGGAGATGTTTTTCCTGAAAAAAGAGAAGACTTGGGGAACATGAACTCTTTTGAAATATTTGAATGGTTGTCTCATGAAAGAGGGATTAATTTACTTGTTCTGTGTGGAAGCTAAAGGAGGATAAATGTTTGCTAAACTGAGTGTAGAAGTTTTAAACTCTGAGCTTATCGGTGATGAAATATGCGAATTCCAGTGGTAAGAAGCTTTCCATCTCTAAGTGTTCAAATAGATCCTAGATAACTACTTGACACAAGGATATTGTAGAGGAAATTCAACATGGTAAAAGTTTGAACAAGATGAGTTTAAGGGCTCCTTTTAACCCTGAGATTCTGTTATTCATTGGTTCAGCTATAACTCATTAGAGATCTCATTTAAGCAGAACTTTATTTTTTACTCTATAATTAGGTGACAGGACAGATTGAGTTCAATAAACATTTACTAAAACTTACCACATACCAGATCATAGGCTAGATATTGGAAATACATACACAATTCCTAATATTGAGGAATTATCAGTTTAGTGGGGAAATACATCATGTGTGGTAGGGTAAGTGGTGTGGTAGTAGCAAGGAGGCTGAGGGGAAAGAGAACAAAAAAATCTTTTCTAGGAAAGAGTGTTTGAACTGGGATTTATATGGTGAATGAGGCCAAATGACAAGGAAACAAGCTCTTATCCGGAACTGGAGATTGCATTTCTGGGATGCACTAGGTTCAGTAATATTCAGCTCCATATCCTTCAGCTTTTTCACTTTCAGATTTGGACACAACCCCTGGAGTTCAGTGTGATGACACTAAGGCCTAACAAAATCCTCAGGCACTATGTACAGGAATTAGCCCTTATTAGGAAGAGAGTTGTATGCAAAAATATTAGAAAACAGTAACGGCTTCATGCAACCTTTCAAGAAACATGAGATTCACTTTGTTCCATGTTTCCCAAGCAGTGTGGTTGACTAGCCAGTGATGGAGATTGTGATATCTTTCTCTTGGGGAAAGCTTTTTTCCCCAACATTAGCTTGAGCTTCCTGAAAAAGAATGTCTATTTGTTAAATTGTGGGGTTTTTTTAGTCTCAAAGCATTTCAGAAATTAAGGAAATTCCAGGCTTGGTGATCTAACAATCACCTAGACAGGGGTCCTGACTTGGAGCATATTCATTTATTCCAGAGGGTGTCTTCTTCTGCTTCCCACTTTTGCATGACAGTAACTGTCACTTCATTCATGATTTGAAAACACTTATTGAATGCCTGCTCAGTTCCAGGCACTGTACTAGGTTCTAGCAATACAGTGGTGAGCAAATTAGACATAGCCCCTGACAGCTTATAAAGCAATAGTATTTCTAACTGTAATACTAGTGTGTGTGTGTGTTAAGAGATCTGTAGAGTACTATAGATATTCTGGAGACAAAGCAGTATGGAAATGAAGGATTATTCAATAAATGATTCTCTAGTAATTGATTAACCATTTGGAAAAAGTAGAGTCTCAATTTATAATACACTAAAATAATTTCTATATGGATTAAAGATTAAATTGTAAACAATAAAAACACAAAACAACTAAAAAATAATAAAGGTTAATGGTGCTACAGAGTGCTAATTATTAAGTGGACAGGATCAAATAAGAAAATATGGACATATTTGACCATATAAAATGCCAAAACTATGAATACAATTTAAAAGATACCTAAACTGGGAAAGAATGGTTGCAACAACATTTTCAAATCAAAGGGATACAGAGAATAAGACAAAAGCCCCAGTGGAATAAAATGAGTAAAGATTTGGATAAGTCACAAAATATATAAAAATCTCCAATAAAGTGAAAAATGTTCAATCTCAATAATAAAAAATGAGAAAGTAAAATTGTACTTCTTATATTGTAAAATCTTGTTTTGATTTGGTTTTGTTTTAAAAGGTAATTCTAAGGATGGGTAAACTTGCATTTTAATATGCTATTGGTGGGAGCAGAAATGTTACAACTTTCTTGGTGGGCAATCTGGTGATAATTGTCAAGAGTCTTTAAAATATTCCAATTCTTTGGAAATTCTGCTTAGAATTTATAGTATATAAAAATTGAGATACTCATGAAAATTTATTTCCAGATGTTCATTACAGCAAAGTTTAATATAAAAAAGCTAGAAACAATTTAAATACTCAATAATACAAGAATTATTAAATACTAGAGGTCCGGTGCATGGCATTTGTGCACTGGGGAGGAGGGAGGGATGTCCCTCAGCCTGGGAGCGGGCCTAAGCCGACAGTAGGACATCCCCCAAGGGGTCCTTAGTGCTGCTGCGGAGGCGGGAGAGGCTCCTGCCACTGCCACTGCACTCACCAACCGTGAGCCCAGATCTGGCTGAGTGGCACTCCCCCTGGAGTGCACTGACCACCAGGGGTTAGCTCCTGCATTGAGTGTCTGCCCCCTGGTAGTCAGTGTGTGTCATAGCAACCGGTCGTTCTGCCGTTTGGCTGATTTGCATATTAGGGTTTTAGTATATAGGATATTTTTACAAATTTGGCCGATTTAGAATCATTACCAATGTTTGTTTTTCTTAAACTGATGATCTGGATTGAATTTTATTCTCTAATCACTAGCCATCATCCAGGTTAGTATAATGAATGAAAAAGCACAAACTTTGGTGGAGCCAAACATGTGACTTTTTTTGTGTGTTTTTTTAAATATGTTTTTATTGATTTCTGAGAGATGAAGGGAGTGGGAGAGACAGATAGAAATATTACCGATGAGAATCATCAATTGGCTGTATTCTGCATGCCCCGTACTGGAGATCAAGCCCATAACCCAGCCATTTGCCCTGACAGGAATCGAACCATGACCTCCTGGTTCATGGGTTGACTCAAATCGCTGAGCCACACTGGCAGGGCCAGATCTGATCTTAAAATGCCATTCACAACAGATGGTAAATATTAAAATTATTGAAGGACTTGTAAGATCTATAATTTTCTAACAAAGTAATTTATATATTTAAAATAAAAAATTTCAAAAAAGATTTACCTTGTCCTTGAAGATGAGATATATCCAGACCCTCTTTTAGGCGAATAACCACTACTCCATATTGTATATCAAAGGCGTCACTATAATAGGAAAAATATGAAAAAAAAATTTGTCCCTCCTCTATAAAATGAAGGCAATAATTGAAGATCTTTAAAATTACTTTCAGCTTTAACATTTGATTCTTTAATATGCTTAAAATATTATGGTGAGAGCTAAGATAGTTTCAAATACTATACCATTCCTTTTCCCTTTTTCTGTAATGCCTCTAAAACTATTTACATGAAGATCTTTATAATACTGATAATCTATTTAAAGCAGCTATTTAAAGCAGTAACTATTTTTATCCTATTAGAAACAAGCTAAAATTATGGAGTCAAACCATTACTTAATTTAAACTTAAACCCCTAAAGTCAAGAGAAATATATGAAGACAAAGATGGATTTTATTACTGAGAATGAGATCATATTGTAGAGGATGAAGGGATCATTTCTCAAAGGAGAAAGAATATTTTTAAGTAATTTACAATTTTTTACAAAACTAGTTTCAAAAAGTACTAAGATTTTATATGCATTTGCAGACATGTATTCAAAAGTCGTTTTGATTTTTTTTAAACACAAATGGGAGCATCCCATACGTACATAGTATACATTAAACCTTTGTACACAACTCTAAAACCAGACTTAAATTCTATAAACTTCGTTAACACCATAAATCACATAAACCCAAGTTCTCCTCAGATCTACTAAAAAAGTTCCAAATTGCAAAACTTCAGGTTGTTCCACTGAGGTGCAATCGACTTACAGTAGGAGAATCCTGGGTTACAATAAAGTGTAAACCCAAAGCCAAAGGGCAGTTACACATGTGTGACAAACCAGCAAAGCTTTCATTTTACGAAAAGCATTTAACAATTACTTGGTAAATCTTATTCATCGTATACTTTATTATTATTTTTTTTATCGTCTACTTTACATAATCAATAGAAAGAGATTTTAAAAGTAAAGTATGAGATCTGCCTACTTCCTCAAATTGTTTTAAGGCATCTGTGAAGACAAAACTATCCTATGTGATACAGGCAAATAATTATGTGCTTTTATCTATAGATACAAGAGGCGTTCCAGTAAGGGAAATAAATAATAACATGAACAGAGTAAAATCAGAAAGACAAAGTAACAAAACAAACACTAGAAAACCCCTAA